TGATCCGCCACCCTTGGTGTGTTCGCAGCAGCAGGAGGTAAAGGGCAGCACTTGGCGCATCTCGCTGCCTTGGAGCTGAGAAAGAGAAGTTCCTCAGGTCTTTACTCCACCGCACATGGGTATCATCTCCCCTGTTCAGCCCCTTCAGAAAATCCTGCTCATGCTGCTGTCTGGCGTGTTGAGCAGTGCGAAGACTGCATGAACTTACAGCATGGAGAAGTGCCACTGATGGTTTGGGTGCTGATGGTCTGCTGCAAGCAGGGAGCTGGGTGCTAAATTGCTGATGAAGCCTCTCTGGCTCGATGCAAGAACCTGCCAGGCCTGCAGCAGAGGGGCAGGCTGGTGTCTGGCTTGGGCAGCGTGTTCAAGAAGTGAGTAAATGTCCAGAAACTGTGAGGGATTTTTCCAGTGGGTTTATTTATTTATTTATTTATTGGAAAAATACTGATTTGTCCAAACCCAGACATCCCAGGAATGTTCCAGCTCTGCCATTGCCACAGGAAAGGGTTAGGGTTGGGGTTTCTGGAAGGGGGGGAAAGCAACCAAAGCTTTGCAATAAGTGACTGCTGCTCTTTTCAGGGGTGCATGAAATGCACCTGTAGTTTTGGTGAGAACTGGAAACAAGGAATTTGATGTTCTCCCATGTCCTAGGTGAATGCCCTGATTACTGGATTCGTTGTCCTAATGTGGACTCTCTTATCTTTGCAACAAGTACCAGCAGACGGTGATTTTTTTAGATCTTAGGCAATCTCAAGCTTTTGTGACGTGGGGAAAACCATTTCTTGTTCAGCCCTAGTAGGAATGTGCACTGCTTGCACTGATGGAGACAGTGTGAAATAGAGGCTTCTTCATTTGATATAGGTGTAGAAATGGGGCACTGGAAGCCTTTCCTTGTTGTGAGCATTTGTAACCTCCCTCTAAGTAGTAGGATACAGTCCTTCCCTTCTCTCCCTTCTCCCTCAGGGGCTGTGGGAAAGCTCTGGGCAAGCCTTGGCAGCAAGCCCTGCCAAGCCCAATCTGTCCTGGCCACCAGCATACTGTCCCAGGGGACTCTGGCAGGACTGAAGTGTCCAGGCCTTGGGAAGAGCGCAGTGACTGTCCTGCCATCCCTGCAGGCAGAGGTTCCTCCTTCAGCCTCTTCTGCAGAGAGCTGGTAAGTGCTGGGCTGTGCTCTCTTTTCCTGCTTTTCAGCGCTGCATGTGCCTGGTTTGGAGACCTGTTTGCAAGGTGTTTTCTGTTTGCCTTCCAGCACTTTGTTGTTCAGGGTCCTCTGTTTATTCCTGCAGTGTTCTGTCATCATGGTCCCCCTGCTGACGTGTGGAGACATGCTGCCCAGTCTCCAGGGGACTCGCTGACACTTTTCTGCAGAGCAAATGGGAATGGTTCGATGAAACTTGTCAAACCTATTGATCCTCTTGCTAATTTCTCCATATTCCTTCTGCTGGTGCGTCAACGCGGAATATCGTTAGCAATTTCAAATGCTGTTGGGAGGATGCGAGGTCAGCTAGCGTTCAATACCCATCTGAATGTCAGATGTGTGCTCTGTCACCACGATGCAGATAAGTTTCCCTGATGAACGTGTCCAGGATCAAATCCCTGTGAACGCTGTGGTGGGGTCCTCTCTTGCAGCCCTTCTCTGACTTGTTAGTCTGGGGACCCTCCTTTGCGTCTCTCACACAGCGTCCTTGTCCGGGTTGCCCCAGATCTCTGCATCTTGAATACAGCAGTTCATGCTGCTCACTCTTCCTCCCCAAACCTATGTGTATCAGGTGCTACAGCAGAGCCAGATAGCTCCTGCTTTTTGCCTCTTGTTTTGCCCCCTCTCCCTTCCTGGGGGAGGGAGGTGGCACAAGGGCTTTGTGCCTGTTCTGGACCCACCACTGGCTTTGAGAATTGCTGGCCTGTCCCGAGGCGAGGGCGTACCCATGCCTATGGTAGTCTGGGCAATGGTGCTGGCTGTGTTTCAGCTTGCTGTTGCTGGCACAAGCCCATCGCCTAACGACGGGGCAGACCGCAACAATGCAGGAGCGAGCCTCCAGAGGTCGGCCTCGGACCATGGCATCTCGTCTGCCAGCGGTGGGTGGCTGGGTCTGGGGAGGATTGCTCGCTGCTTTTCCTCTGGTCTTTGTTATGTTTGATTAGTGTTGCTAGCAGCAACAGTAGCATCAGGAAATAATATGTTCAGACACAACTGTTGGTGAAGCTGCTGCTCCCTACAAACCCTGTGAGATTTGAGGTTTGCATCTGCGAAAAAAGCTTTCTTTAGACAGCAGGTAACTTCCCAGTTATCCTGATTCAGAGGATATTGGGCATTGGAAGAACTTTTATTTTCTAAGAGGGCTATTACCCTTTTTTCCAGCTTCAAAAGTCCACCTTCTTAGGCTTAAGATGGCTGGAAAATATTGGCCAAGTAGAAACGTGGAACGTTTTGTTTAGAGTTGTAAAATTTTCTGAAATCTTCTCCTTCTGAGTTTCTGTGAGGTAGGGGAAAGCCCCTGAAGACTGGGAGCTCTTGCTGAGTAGCCACTGCAAGCACAGCAGTACCATCCCTCCTGCCCTGTGCCGCACAGGGCTGTTGGCTGTGCCTGATGGAGCCGGACTCCCAGAGCTGGCGGGGGAAGAGAAGTGCTCCTCTGGCTGCGACCAAAACATGTCCTCCATCAGGGAGGTGGTCCCTTGAGGCAGGCAGGATGCGAGCTCAGCCTCCGGCAGGGACCTGAGCTCTGGAGTGAGCCAAGGGGCCAAGCTGGGGCATTTGGCGCTACTGAGTCCTGGAGGGCAGCACTTTCAGCCCCTGTTGCTGGTGAGCACTTCTGATGCTGTTCAGCCTTATCTTACCGAAACAGTGAGGCTGCTTGGACTTCTGATCCTGCTGGTGCCGGATGTCATGCTCCAAATATCTATGTGTCTGTCCTGCCAGCACTGGCTGCAGGCATATGGAGACAGGCTGGCTTTTGTGCAGAAGGCTGCCTGCACAACCTGGGCAGTAGTGCAAAAGCTTATACTGAGCTAGGTAGGACTGGGAGGAAGGGCTCTGCCACAGTCTGCCCCTGTTTTGTACTTACCTCCTCCCTTTTCTGCTGTCTTTCATCCTGTTTCTCGCCATGCTAAGGAAGAAGAGTTGCGTTTCATTGTCTCTGTAATCTGGGGAAGGAAAGCCTTCACAGGCTAAGGAAGGGGACCTGGTTGCAGATAGAAACACTGCTGATTAATTGGTTTAAAGCATGCTTAGCTGTTTTCTCTGTTACTGTCCTGTCCAGAGAAGCCCAAACCTGAACCTTCTCCCCTCTCTGGAGCCATAAACTACCCTTGGTGAAAGCTGTCTTACATGGTATGGAGGCAGGTTTTGTTGTGCACTACTATCACCTGCTTAGGCAGGGTTATTTCCTGGTGTTAAGTCCACATGCTGTATCCCTGTGGCTTCCAGGGTTTAATTTCATATATGCCAATTGCTGCTTCAAATACAGAGGCACGTGGGGCAACTCATCCAGACCTTGTGCAGTTGGTTTCTCCTGAACAGACCTATAAATCCACAGGAGTTGCATTTGATGCAAAGGAGAGATACAGTTATCCTGTAAGGATCCTTTCCCTGAGCTTAATGTTTTCTGGAAGTATCTGTGCAGGCTTGAAGCAGAGTTAAGAGCAGCCTGGCAGGGCGAGCTACACTCTCACACTTAGCAGCAGCAGCTGGGTGATCCAGGCTGAGGTTTCTTGAAACTGCTTGGTGCAGAGACAGGCCAGGGGGTGGGCTACTCACAGGACTTCTCTATTTCTTCCAGCAAATGTATGCAACATAACCCAGGTAGGTCCCTCTGAAGAAATGAACTTTGAAGATGAATTGCTAAACCTGTAAATCATTTTATAGCTCATGACTGGAACCATCCCATTAGAAGCTTAATGTATCCTATATATTAGCAGCGGTGATACGTGCTAAAGAAATTGATTCATGGAGCTGGAAGGAGCATTGCAATTCACTGATCTAGCATTGGGGAAGAGGAGAGGGCTTAATTAGCAAAAGTGCCTTTTAAATGGAGATGAATTTGATGGGAAGTGGGCTGCTTCATTAAAAAAATAAATCCTCAGACCTTGGGATTCAGCCATGCTGCTTGTGGAGAAAAATGAATTTGTGTTGGCTCCTTGTTCCAGCCCTGGCCTCCCTGAGCTTTGTGGGGAGCTGGCTGTGTCCAAATAGCCAAATCCCTGTGCCCCTCAGCAGAGCAGATAATGGCTCTGTGCTTGTGTGTGCTGCAATTATGAAGAATTTTAACCAAGCTGTCATCTGGTCCTGCTCTTCCACAGAGGCAGTCAGCCATGCCCAGCAGTAGAGACTAAGACCTGTTGGTGACCGGTGGCTGGCTGGTGTCTCCCTTTCCTTGCCCCTGTGTTGCTTGTACTTGTTTTTACCCCTTATCCCACTATAGTTTGATCTTGCTCTGACACTTTTGTGTTTGTTTATTTGCGCCTCTAACATGAGGCCTGAGTCACTTGTGTTCACTGTAGCGTATTTTGATAGATAGAAGTCTTGCACTCGGTGTGCATGCTGGACGATAAACTCTTGCTTGGAGTCCTGGCATTCTGGGGCGGTGATCAAAGCCTTGGAAACAGTCATGTCCAGGACAGTAGGAGCCAAGTGAATGCAGATGGGTCCTCCTGGGATCTTTTTCCCCCTCTCAGTGGGCCTGTGGGTGCCTCTTGTTTCACTCTCAAGTAACGTCTGTGCTGTCTGCCCCACTTTTCTTTCAGGTGCGCAATGGCCACATCAAGAGAATCACTGACAATGACATTCAGTCGCTGGTGCTGGAGATTGAAGGAACTAACGTCAGGTAGGAGAAGGCACTTTCTTCTCCCCTAGTATGCCCTGGAGCAGAGTGAAAGATGTCGGTGCCCAGCAGACGTCTCCTTCAGACTACGACAATCTCTTTGTCAATAAATTGAAGAATATGATCTGGGGTCAGATCACTGATACCCCTGTGTGGCACTGTACTGTGCTTTTCCCTGGACGTGCTTGTAGAGCTCTCTGTCATCCTCAGTGGGGCTAAAGGATTAAAAATAAAAATAAAATCCCATTATTTTTCCATCACCTGGGGGAAAAAAAAGCTGTATTTGATACCTGGTCCCCAGTCAGTGCTGCCAGTTACTGAGAAAGCAGCACTGCCTTCTGCATCTTTTATTGTCTTAGGCCTGCTCTGCTGCTCTCCCCACATGACAGCTGCTCTCCCGACAGCAGGAAGATCAAAGGGAGATTTATGAGGGGAATTGCTTATGGTGCTTCACTTAGCAGCCTTGTCTCCATCGACTGGGGAGAGAGACACCAGCTCCATGAGCGGGTTCGGAGCCTCCAAGGCTTCTCCAGGGGTGATTCAGAGCAGGGTGCTCCTTATAAGGGCAGTGGAGACTCCTCTCCTGCAGACAGGCTGAGCCAACGCTTCTCTTCCTCCCAAGATGTGTTGATACAGAACTTGCCAGGCGTGACGTGTACTTCTAGGGCTCAAGACCTCTGTTTTCCCAGCCATATAGAGGACACAGGGCCTCTGCTGTGCTCTGGAGGGCTCTGCCTGTTCAGTCAAGGGTAGGAGGAGGTTGTGTTAAGAAACAGCACTGACATGGCCTTGAAACTGGGGAGGTGAAGCTGTCCAGGAAGATGTTTCATGCCCTGGGTGAGAAAGGTAGGATATGAAATGCATTCTTTGGGCCCTTTTTCTTGTTCTCTCTGCAGCTACCTCTGAAACTCTTCCTCCTGTTGCAGGAAGGTCTGGTTGTTCCTGAGATCTTACGATCACAGCTATCTTTTTCTGCCTGACTCCAAGACTGTGTTAGGTCAAGAGAGAGACTTGGGACTCAGGCTGTGTGCTTAGTGCCATGTGAGATCCTAAAGCATTTTTCTGTCCCTCTCAGTACCACATACATCACGTGCCCTGCTGACCCAAAGAAGACCCTGGGCATCAAACTACCTTTCCTAGTGATGATCATCAAGAACCTGAAGAAATACTTCACTTTTGAAGTGCAGGTGAGAAGCATGCAGTGGGGAGGCCCCGCCAGGGACCAGTGAGGAAGGTGCCAGGGAGCCTGCAGTCTTATGTTGGAACTTGTCCCAGGCAGCATGTGGTCCCCAAAACAGTTTTGCTTTCTTGGCCATGTGATGTGTCAGGTCTTCTGCTATGGAGGCATCAGCCAGCTCACAAGCACATTGTTGCTATTCCTGAAAATGGGTCTGTTCCCTCTGTTAAAAATACTTCTGCTGTGAAATGGAGGAGTGGGAGTAGGAGAGCCCTCTCTCAGAGATGGGTAAAGCCTGAGTCTAGAACAGCTGCTGTCTCAGGGAGCTGGGGACCCCTGGTGCCTGAGTCAGCAGCCTGCCTTCTTTGCCTCAGGTGCTGGATGATAAGAACGTACGCCGGCGTTTCCGGGCGAGTAACTATCAGAGCACGACTCGAGTGAAGCCCTTCATCTGCACCATGCCCATGCGGCTGGACGATGGCTGGAACCAAATCCAGTTCAACCTGTCAGACTTCACACGCCGGGCTTATGGCACAAATTACATCGAGACCCTGAGAGTTCAGGTGAGAAGCAGGCATGGCCTGCCCACAGAAACCAATGGTCGGTAGTCTTCCTGCTGGCTGGGACAGCTTTGCTGTAGATTGGGAATCCATGTTTATCCCTGACTGGTCCCTTTGCCAGTCCTGCTCTTTGCAGAGCACTGCAGGAGGGGAGCAAAGACCGAACTGAAGCAGCAGAGGTCTTGGTGCTGTCTTGCTTTGCTGGACTAGACTGGGATGAAGGAGCCCATTTCCATCTTGTTTCTCTTGCTGGCTGTCAGTTAGGGTAAGAGTTGCAGTCCACCTAAAGTGCCACGCATCCTGCTGGGTGGAGGTCTGCTGGAAATTAGCCGTGTGCTGCCTTACTGAACAGATACGCCAGACAGCAACTGGCCAAGTGGGAACCTGGCTGGTGAAGACCCAGGGTGTTATGGTCCATCCATATCCCTGGTAAAGCTCGTTTCCTAGTGTGGGTGAAGTGACCCTGCCTTCACCGAGCCCCTTGGACCAGAGCTGATGCAGCATTTGTTCCTGCTAGGACATGAAACTTGTTCCATATGCTAGGGATTCATGTTTGCTGTGTCCAGTGGCATGTGTTATTTTGAGGAATGCCTGTGTGCGGAGCATGCCTGTTCCTTAGTATGATGGGAGTGCTGCAGTTCCTTGTGGGGTTGCCCTGAGATGAGCAGGCAGTCAACTGGGAAATGTCTGCCTTCTCACATAGCCATGAGGGGGACTGGAGCAACTCCTTCGCTGCCAGCTGATGGTGGAGGCAGCACAGGCTGGACAGTCTCATTCCTGACCTCAGGGAGGCCCTGAAGAGGGAATGTTAAAAATGCACCAAGCTGAGGCTGAGAGTGTTCTGGCAAATGCTGATACCAGTGGAGAAGCAGAGGTGGGTTCACAGCAAAGAACCCTCTAAGCAACTAAGGCAGATCTCAATTTGCAGAGATGCCAGAGCTTGGCCAAATCTCCTGAGCCAGCCTGCATCACTGGAGAGAGCATCTAATGCAAAGCAGAGGGCATGGGCCAATGTTTCTTCTCTGATGCCCTGTCAGATTCAGAGAGAGGCAGTGAGGTCTCTTCTCCAGCTGCCGAGCCAAGGAATCCAGGCTGCTGCAAGAGAGCGAAGCTGGATGTGGAAAGAGCATATGGAAAGTGGACTGACTCTTTGTTTTGACTCTCAGATCCACGCCAACTGTCGCATCCGACGGGTGTACTTCTCTGACCGGCTCTACTCAGAGGATGAGCTCCCAGCTGAGTTCAAGCTGTATCTGCCTGTCCAGAACAAGGCCAAGGTGAGGTAGCTGTGGGAAAGGAGGGTGGGAGCAGCAGATGGGCCAGGCTAGTGTTCCTCTTCCTCCTCCCGCTGCCTTCACAAACCAGAGTTTCTTCTAGCAGCAGAGCTCTTACCAGGTTTGGCCATCAGCCAGGGAGCACCCTCACTGTTGCCAGGGTGAGCAGTCTGTCGGGGGTGCTTTGTGTTTTGGCAGGAAAGCCACTCAGTGTGGAAGTTGTCATTCCCATCTAGGAGCAGGGTGAGCTGTGCAGCTGCTCCTTCCTGTTTGTGTTGAAGGACTCTGGGCAGGGTGGCAGCCTCCTGGCATCTCTCTGGAGCTTTCACCCATGACTCAGCACAGTGGCTTTGCTCTTCAGAGCTAGCTGCAGCTCCACACTTGTGTTCCAGGAGGGATGCTGTTTGTGTCCCTCTAGCCCAAGTTTACTCCCCTCTGATTTCTTCCCTGCCCCGGTGCAGATGGTGGTGCTGTGAGGTGGGGATAGGCAAGGTTGTGGCTGCCCAGCAGGAGGAGATGCCAAGCTCTGCTCTGGTCGTGATGGGAGCGGAGTCCCTGGCATATTGGCAGCAGTCTTGAGCCTTGTGAGAAAGTGCCACCTTTGCCAGGGCCAGCCTGTTCCAGTGCAGATGCTCCTTTTAGCAGAGAAGATTCCTGGGCAAAATTTCAAGGAGCTGAGGGGGGATGCTGGGTGCTGATCTTAGTGGGAGGCAGAAGGCAGTGTTAACAGTAAGTAGCACCTCTGCGGAACCTGTCACTGCCTTCTGGGCTGTAGCAGCCTCCCAGGGGTGTCTGGGGAATGCTTGGAGCCCTCCCAGTACAGTTGTCTTGGTGCTGCCAAGTCTAATAAGTGTCTCCTTTCTTCTCCCTGCGCTGTCCAGCAATAACACCATGTTGGGAAGAGATGTGAGAAATGCTTGGGGTCAGTGGGAAAACAAGAGCAGATGGAAGAGAAGGCCCTGCTGAGACCAAGTTTTAGATCAACTCACCTTGCCTAGGGTAACTTTGTTTCATCTGGTATCCCTCTTCTGACAGGACACAATTAACCATGTAACAGGTCTGGGACTATGTTGTTGGTGTGCGAGTTGTACAGAATCAGAGTTTTCCTAGCTGTTCCTAAAGTGCTGAGCCTAAATACTGCAAGTGGCCTGGTACCTGATCTTGTGTTGCACAGAGGTGTTGCTCAAAGCAGCTACTGTGCCCCCGAAGAGGGGATTCAGCA